AACTCTCAGTTTGTGTGTATATTTTTATTGTACTACATGAATCATAGACTATCTAGCACATTGGGCTCCTCTCTGGCCCAGACCACACCTTGTGCAGTGCTCCTTGCCTCTCATGTTATTCGAAAGATCATTGGTATATTGCCCTGATGTATAGCCATTCAGCTCAGTATTTACCCGTGGAATTCGGCCACCTTTTCCACGGGAACTTCTACACAAGAAAAAAATGGTAGCAATGGAAACTACGTGCGCGGGAAAAAGTCTCAAAAAACCTGCAGCCCCAGCCAGGCGAGGCCTAGACACCGGGACCACATGAGGTGCGCATATTCATCTATATCTCCCTTCTTTGTAACAGTCGAGGTCGACTTGATCCAATCCGCCATCTCCGTATCGGGTGCTGGGTACGCTCCGGAAACTCATCGGATGGCTACTCCATGATCAAGGATAGGTGATGACTAGGGCTCCAACCCTACCATCTGATCTGATAGTGGTTAGCTTCACGATAATGGTGATAGGGGGATATGTTGAGAGATGAAGACGATACAGACCGCGAATGCGATTGAGAATCCTCATCAAAGTGAGGACTGTTTTACTCAGTCTCGGCTCTACAGAGCCCACAGTGAGAGCTGGAGCTTCGTAGGGGACACCACTGACAGGTGTTGAAAATAGTCCCCCCATACGCAATAAAAATCTGATGCAAAAAAAAAGAAACCCCCTATACTTTATCAGTTCTACCGTATCATCCGTCTAAAGGAATCATAATTCATTATAACTATTCCTCTGAAGCGTTCAAAGAGGATGGCCAGCCTGTCGTAGTAGACTTGTGTATACCTTACGGCTTCTCTCTCCCTCCCTAACTTCCCTCTTACTCCTCCCCTGACTCGCGCAGCAGAACAAACCAAAGGTCGTGAGAAGATGTCAGAAAAGGCTTGGTTTAGAACGATTGTCATCAAGTGGGTTGGTCTAGCAATAAAATATACTTACGGATGAATGAATAAAAGTTTAATCGTGACGAGCACAAGCCCTGCACTCAAAGAGCATGACACGGAGAAGGCTAGTCCATCATCCACGACTATGTGCGACAATAGCTCAGTTTGATATCTGGACTACTAATGTAGTGGGTGCATTCGCTGATACCACTCGAGACCTTGGTGCTAGGGACTTCCACCCTTCCCTCAACCGTTAATATCCACCAAAGGGAAAACGGTAAAAACCTTCGACTACCCTAACATGCCTTTGCCATCTTGTATATAGCCACCGTGCGAGATATGGCCTCACAGTTCTCCCTTTCTCGAGTGAGGTAGGTGTCGAGGCTACCCAGACTTTAATTCGGGGAGATGACGACCAGGAGGCGGACCAAAACATTATCTATCGTTGATTCGGCGCCCACAGACACCCTTAAGTCGAAATCACTCGAGAAATGTGCGTCCCAGCATGCCTATTTGTGACCTCTACACTCGTTCATCCCACGTCACAACTTCCTGTCCTCCCTCAAGATGTGAAGCCCCATTAGAGCAACGGTCCCCCATAGACCAAGACCCGAGCTTTGTAGATTATGACTTGGTTTCCTCCTCACGGGTATAAATAGCATCGTAAATGTGTAGTGGGAGGTGGCCTATTTTTGATGAGGCAAATGCCCGATTGCAATTGGAGTAATGCCATTATCGGTATTCGAGGCGGGGTGGTGTGGTAAGATTGAGGTGGAGGACTCGCGTGAGAATGATAGATCCGACATTGACGAGAAGTCCTCGATTTCGGATGTGCTTGTGAGTGCTTTCGACTTCAATTTGGATGCGATTCTTCTTGGCTATCCCAGATATGCAGAGCATACTGAGCGATTACACCGGCACCACTGGAAGGTGAAGAATTCATCTAGGCCGGCAGATACTTACGGATGTTGGGCTGTCGGGTAACTCATGTAGTCTGGATGACCTCCTGGCTAAAATCGTGGGAAGCAAAGATATAGAGAGACGATATTTACTATTTATTAGGGTGGAGGGGTTATTAACTCTGCTTTCATGGGCTTTTCGTTGCCTGCCGGTGGGTAGAACATGTTGTGATGAAACGAGAGCTTCTCTGATTACCGTTGCAGCGTTCAGAACAGCAATAGTTTTCCTCGTCCCCAGCATCATGATCGTCAGCTTAATATTGATATGTGTTATCGGAGGCATATCCTTCCTAGAGAGAGATATATCTCAGCTGAAAGTTAAAAAGTCATGATTCGACTTCAACTCTACAGACTTTACGATGAGAGATAGAGATTCGTAAGAGACATTGCGGATAGTGTTTCGTCTTCTTCCCCGCTCCCAAAACTTTCTTCCTTTTCTTATCCCTATTTTATATCATTAGACTGATAGGAGATTGTGGCGAGTTGCCTTAGCCCTCTTCTTGCAAGATCCATTTCTTCGGTATACGACCACATCATCCTCTCAGCCGCAGCGCCCACCCATTGTTTATACCCCGATCATACAGCCCAGCCTACAGAAACAACCCAGAGTTGGCCTCTTCATCATAAACCCTTTAAATTGGGCACAACCATTCGTGCTGCCAGCTGCTAGTGCGCATGATGATTATTCGAATCCTTCGATTTTGCCTAACTGGTACCAGGGCTAGATCTTCAATATCTGTGGGAACTAATGTTGGCACATTCCAGGTACAAATTAATAAACTGTAACCAGAGGCTTTCACCTAGATTCTTAAGATTTTGCTGACTCTAAGACTTGGTAGGGACTTAGGTATAAATCCAGTCTAATTCACCTAACTTATGGGCGTCAGGACCAATCCGGGAGGGAATTCTAGAGTCAGATCATCTTGGGATACATTCTAACAATTAATCCACCTGGGGAATGATGATTGTGATGAGTAGAGAGAGGTAGAACTGCCACATCCCGATCTATCCGTGGCAGTTCAGTACCCTTTGCTTTATTTTTCGTCCGTCGGAGCGCCAAGCCTTGGCTCAGGTCCCTACTACCCACTTAAATAACTAGAGGCATGGACGCCAGTACTTACTGCACTGGTGGCTTCGCCCTTGCTGCTTCCCAACTAGGTGTGGAAGGCAATTTTCTAAATGTATGATAGCTTGAAGCGTAGCGTAGTACCTACACCTTTACAGCTAGTCGCCGAAGCTCTTCAATCATTTGATGTGTTACACCCATTCAGGAATACCAAACAATCCATCTATAACGAAAGGCTCAAAGTTGAGGCAGAGTTCAAGGCCTATTTATTCCTTGTCTAGGGTTTCTACGTAAAGATCAGTACCCCTTACGTTTATGGAAATCAATAAGAGTCATCCTTGGTGCAATATTTGCACGTCATTTGATGATCAACCAGAAACATGGGAGCCGCGGTTGTGTATTAAGGCCGCAGCGGATAGTCGTCTCCGTCTCCTAGATTGAGCCGATGTCGCCACCCACTTCAGATTCACAGATTTAATACAGCGGAAGCCAACTTGGTGCCGCATCTTCTTAAATTCGCCTCTCTCGCTGATGCTACGGGAGGTAGATTCCCGTTGATTCCTGTGAAATACATCCGGTATCAGCGTATAGTCACGTGATGTTTGTAAACTTTCAAATAAAACCCAATTTCATAAAGATCGCCCTCATCCAAGGGTTTTAGGTAGCCTGATTCTTTACGTCTTCTAGTTAGGAGCAATATTAGGCTCTGATGTTGCAGGTTCAAGCTGTGTCGAAGGGTGAGGACTTCACTTCTTTCAAGGTAGCTATTTACAATCTTGAGGGTAGGAAGGAGACGGGACATCTTTTAGACCATAGATTCAATCTAGGAGATAGATAGTCATACACTCAAGTAGCACATTGAACACACACACTCACCAAATCCAAGATTATAACACGCGCCGCATTAGCCCAAGAGTTGAAGGTTGGAAACCATGCGGTCACCTCCATCCTTCGCCTTTAGATGAACTTTATCTCTGCACAGATTTTGTCTCAGTTGTGTCTGGGGCGAAGGACGAAATATCAAGGACAATAGTGCTTCCTATCCAATGTATCGACTGCCTCGACCAGCTTTTCCAGATACGTCTATCATATGAAATGAATTTCGAGCGGCCGATTTGTAGGGCGAGGTTCTATTAGAGTGAGCTATCAGTGATTTCGAAAAGTTGGATAGACCGACTCATGGTATTAGCTGAGAGAGGATTCAGACTCGATTCAGATGGATTCGGCACTTCGGAAAGTGTTGTTTGATTCCGAGAAGTATTGGAATCGCCAAGGTTTCAATAATCACTGAACGATGCAAAATTCAAGCCACTCGGCGGGCCGTTGGTTAGCGCGACCCGCGAGCTACTTCGCCTCACTAAGCGTCCTTACAGCCGTCCAGATATGCTAGGGCGAGCCCAGTAGAATTTTCCATATAATAACTAACGTGATTTATATTGGTCAAGGGTGATGGAAATATGCCGGCGCCGTTCATGCTACCAAAATTGGAGAAATTTCACGGGTCAATATTCGCAGGTGAAGGAATGGGGCACGTAAATTCCACAGAATTAGAGGTCAGCGTCATATCCGCCCATTCTCTGGCCTGAGCTATCGATTGATGTGTTCTCCATCTTCCGTGTCCCAATGGGGAATAGCCAGACGGCACCCTCTTTTCCTGTTGTTACTCCTGAGCTCTGCTTATTAAGCGTATTCCGGCACCCAAATCTTCTCGACTATTCCCTAGCTCCCAGACAAACTATTTAGAGATACAGGGCTTCCCTCAACCATTCGCATCATCTCAGTTACATCTTTGTCGTCTCCCAGCTAGCCCTAATGTCATAATTGAATATTCAGGGCCATTATCTTATATTCATCTTGGAGCCTCCAATCTTGCACGCCCTCTGCGGCTCATCTCAAAGATAATCCAATTCTTAGCTCGAGTATTAAGTGTCGCAGTGAGTTACTACATCTAAAATTTTGAAATATTCGGCTCACTGGAAAAGTAATACCTTCTGCGCATAAATTTTGTACCTTTTATTTGTTGAAGTCTCTCCCATTCCGAGGGAAATCATGGCGTCCACTACTCTAAGCAATCCTACCACCACCATTGGCCTATCTGCGGCCCAGAAGTTAATGCAGAAGCACCAAGAAACCCGTCAACCTACCATAGAAGATGTACCAGACGAAGAAGACGTGCCGAGTCAGACACCCTCAAGCCATGTCCTAGAGTCTGCTTCTGGCCCATCTTTCCAACACACTCCTCCTTTCCCTACAGGCGCCCCTACCGTTCCAAAGGTTAATCCGGCCGATAAAAAGGACAGGCCGATTATTGACACTCAATCTGAAGAGCTGTTCCCAGGGCTAGGCGCTGCTCCAAAGGCTTCGACAGCCCCCATTTGGGGTGCCAAAAACCCAACAGCAAATGGTCATGTCCATGGCGTCTCCAATGGCTATTCGCCAACACCATCTTCCCTCAAAACCCCCGCCCCTCCTGCACCGTCGAACCTTCGTGCTAATCCGCAATCTCTGATTTCCCAGGTCCAAGCGCCACTTCTTTCCCTTCCAAGTAAGGATATTCTTCCTCGGAGTCAGCTGAAAAAACCCATTACAGACACGCTGAAAGATATTAACAAGAAGTTGAGAACAAATTTAACCATGACAACTGGTGAGAGTGGTATTCTAGAATTCAGAGAAACTACCAATCAAAAAGATGCAATAAGACAGCAAGCGATTAAAGAACTCGGGCAGCTGATAGGAGTCAAGGTATTGCATTACTGATGTATTTTTTGACTCACATTCTGACATGAGTGTAGAAATCAGTAAAGATCGCTCTTCCCCAGTCAACTAGAGCGCATATTATTGGAAAACAAGGTACAACCATCAAAGCTTTACAAGATGCAACCGGTGCTCGCATTCAGATGCCCAAAATTGAAATTCCTACCACACCTACAGACGATGATGACGATGAGATGATCGAAATTTTAATTGAAGGGAACACGGCTGCCATCCACTTGGCTCAAAAAGAGATTGAAAAAATAATCAGCGAAAGATGCGCCAGCATCAACTCCAAAATTCGAACGATTCCAACCGAATTTTATCCCTTTATTGCTGGGGCCAATGACCATAATCTTAATTCTATCGAGCAAGCTCACAATGTGCATATTTCCATTCCATCACACCATGTATGGAACCCTCAACCCCCGCTACAGAAGCCAAATCCTGGCCAACTACCCACTTTTGTCCCCACTGCTGGCCATAATCCCATAACAATTACTGGGGATAGAGCAGCGGTCCAGGCTGCCCGCGCTGATATTGAAAAGCTTTCTCAACAGCTCCACCAGCAATTGACGTTCGAACAATTCATGGTCAACAACAGCCAGCACCAGTTTATCATTGGAAAGCAAGGTATCTCGCCGCAAGGCTTCTTTGCAAAGACTGGATGTGGAATAATGCTTCCCAGTGATGTCAATGAAGATTCGGTGACAGTTGTTGGCCATCCAGAACGAGTTGAAGCTGCTATGGATTATGCTATGGATCTAGCTAGCAGTATGAACCAGGCAATGTTTGACGTAGCAAGACACTACCGAAATGCTCCAGGCCACGCCCGTATGCATGCCAGGAATATCACTCAGTATCTTCGAGACCGAAATGAAATTGACAAGATAGGAGGCCGCCATCAGATACATATCACTACCCCTATGGACGCCGAAGGAGCTGCACCATGGGAAATATTCTATCGCAGCGAGAATAGTAAAATTGCCACACGGGCGCAAAACGAGATTGCTAGTATTATATTGGCTCACCCACCTACTCGAATGACAACTGTTGCGACGGACCCTTTTTATCACGACTACTTAAGACGGGATGTAACTCCAAGAGTACTGAGAGATTACGGTGTTCGTATGGTCATACCTAAAGGAGAACTTGCTGGAGAACCGATATTATTGGTGTACGAAGGGGAATCTGGCCATGAACCCGACTTTCAGATTTCTCGGGAAAAGCCGGACGCTAGTCAAATAGAGTCTTTCGAAAAAGGCCTTGCTGACGCACGTCATTGCATCCTTGATATTATTGGCAAGCAAGCGAAGATTGGCGAAGAGATTATAGATGTTCCACGCATGTAAGAAGCTCCCTCACTCCATTCTGTTCACCGCTAAATAGATTAGATTTCATGAGAAATTGAGGCGATACATCCAGAGCGAGCAAAAACAGCGCGCTGCCGACCAGATCCCTGTGCGCGTCTTTGTATCAGGGACTAGAGTAACACTTCGTGGGCCAACCCCGGCCGTTGAGTCACTTTCTAAGAAGGTGCACGCATTTATAGCAGAGGCCATCGAGGACGAAAAGGAACGGGGCTTTACTTTGTCTTTTAATTTTCCCCAAAAACATGTTAATCAATTAATTGGTAAGGGGGGCAACAACATACGAGAGCTAAAAGATAAGTTTGATGTTGAAATCAACGTTTCCGATGGGGTTGTGGAGCTTCAAGGGCCTAAAGCAAAAGCGGAAGCTGCCAAGACTCACATTCTCTCCCTCGGCCGCCACTGGGCTGATGAGGTCACTTATGTCATAAAAGTCGATCCAAAATTCCATCGAGAGCTAATAGGAGCTCAAGGTGCGACTATCAACAGACTTCAGACAAGATACAAGGTTCAAATACACTTCCCTCGCTCACTCAAACAGGGAAAAGACGATCAGTCAAATTCTGATGCGCTGAGTGAGGCAGGTCGTCGAGGCCCTCGTCGGGAACAAGAGCCAGATGAAGTTATTATCAGAGGCCCAAAGAAAGGAGCTGATGAGACTCGTGACGAACTATTGTCTCTCGTGCAATACATGCGCGATCGATCTTATAATGCCACAGTTTTGGTACAAGCCAGACAGATACCTTCGTTGATCGGGCAGCGGGGAAGTGGGATGGAGGAGCTGCGACAGCTGACCGGGGCTAGGATCGATATACCCAACGCCAAAGACTTGGATAATCCATCTACACTAGTTGAAATACAGATCAAAGGAGCTGAGTCATCGGTTGCGCAGGCCAAAAAAATAATTGAGGAAAAGAAGCACATATTTGACAATACTGTGACGAAAACAATAGAGATTGATAAAAAACATCACAAGGCACTGATTGGGGCTCAAGGTTGGTCACTCTTTCTCTTTGCATGTATGTACTTCGCTGACGGCTTAAGGATCAACCCTCCGTAACATTATAGTAGAAGCTGGAGGAGCAGATGATCGTCATGAGTTTGCGCGCATTGTTCAATTCCCAAGGGCTGACATTCAGGGGAACTGCATCAAAATTGAAGGTAATGTTGATCTAGTCGAAAATATCATCTCCAAGATGCGAGGAATTGTTGAGGAACGAGAAAGTCAGATAAACGAGACTCTTGACGTACCTGTTGAAAAACATCGCTCCCTTATCGGCCGAAACGGCGAGACGAAGAAAGACCTTGAAGCCAAATTCAAGGTTTCGATCGAGGTACCTCGGCAAGGCAGTGGACTCACGGGAATTGTGATAAGTGGCTTACCATCTAATGTGGAAGATGCCAAGAATCAGATCCAGCGACTCATCGACGAACAAAAGGGCGAGTCAATTCTCTTACCACTCAACATCCATCATGCTATAGTAGACAACGGGCAATTTTTCAGGAAACTTCGGAATGATTACCAGGTAAAGGTTGATCACGGCGGGAAGAAAATCCCAACGAGGTTGTCTAAAACAGTCAATGGTCATACGAATAGGAGTTCACTGCCACTTATTACTGATACAGCAGAGTGCGCTAAAGAAGCCTATATATTTTCAGCGACGACTATTTCCAATAGCCAGGACGAAGACCAAATACCATGGAATTTACGTGGAACTCCAGAAAATGTGGCAAAAGTAAAGGCCGCCATTTCGTCTGCTGTGGAACAGGCATTGAAAGAGACAACCTGCGGGCACTTGACCCTACCTGATCCTCGGACCTATAGATTCGTCATCGGCTCGGGAGGAAGCAAAGTTAATACTATTCGCAGAGCAACAGGCTGTAGAATTGCTGTTCCCAGAGAACAGTCTAATGATGAAGCCATCGAAATTATCGGTAGTGCAGACGGGGTTGAAAAGGCTAAGGAGATGATTCTACAAGCCGTAGAAGACGGTTTGAACGCTAGCCAGCATGGTGGTTCGGGTTATCAACGGGGTTAAGAAAAACGACATGGAGCCCTTGAAGGAGAAAACTAAATCCAAACAGCTGTTGAGTAGATATTCAAATACTTATGTAAACGGCGAAGGAAGGCTGGGTACCATGGCAATGTCTGGCATAGATGTAGCATAATAAAGGAAAATTGTCGGGTTTGGATGAGAATTAAATTGTAGCAATAAAACTTCAACAATAAAATTGTCTTCGTAAGAGACGCGTAACTCTAAAATTGCCGTTTCACATTCTATCCTAGAACACTGAGTTTATCATGACTATCCCAGACCTGATATGTTCTAGGGAGGAATGACCTCACCCCTCCAGTCGTAGCATTTTCCACGTCCATCGACATCTAAGTTGTCGACGACCTCAGTCATCTTACCTACGGCGAATTCGGGGGAGAAGAGCTTCTCGGGCGGAAGAGTATCCCAATAGTTCTTGGAAAGATCGGTCTTGACGGTACCAGGGTGATAACTCATAGCCATGGCGTGCGGCCCGCAGCGCGCCTGGAGGTGGAGGTCGAAAGTCTTGGTCACACTGTTGACGGCAGCCTTGGAGGCGCGATACGAGTACCAGCCGCCGAGGCGATTATCGGTAGTTGAGCCGACGCGCGCCGACATGTTAAGCCAGACAGCGGGGGTGGCGGCGACGGCAGTGGCGGGTAGGAAGGCCGAGAAGTGCTTGATGAGGAGCAGCGGCGCGATGGTATTGAGTGCGAAGGTAGCGTGGAGCTGGGCCGCGTCTAGTTGCCGCGGCGCCCTCTCGGCCCAGAGCTGGCCCGGCAAGCAGAAGGCGCGCCGGAGTCGGGTCTTCGCGAAGCGGGTGCGCGCTGTGGCCGCCGCCGCCGCGATACTCCCCTCATCTACGCTGCCGCATTAGTGCTCGCTGCTGCTGGTGCCGCTGCTTGCGTCGGGGGCCCTACCCGTTAAGTCGACCTGTACAAGCGTCAGTCGTGCTGCTGCCGCTGCGCTAAGGCCCGCGACGAGGGCTGCCTCGACACTGGCGAGGTCTTTGCGAGCCGTCGCGAGGACCGGAATTTGCGTCGTGCTCAGGAGGTGGCGCGTCAGGTGGAAGCCAATGCCACGACTGGCAGGCGTCACGAGAGACCAGGCCATGCTGGGGATTGAGCTGGGTAAGAAAGTAACTATGAGTTGAAGTAAGTGCAAGAATTAGGACTGACCGGTTCCGCCTCAAAGACCAGAGACGACCCTCGTTACATTTTTACACTAGTCTAAAGCGGCTGGCGCTTAAACAGCCGCTCCCCGTGCGTTAGCCACCCGGGTAGGTGGCAGACAGAAGCTTGTTCAAGCATTGTATACTTGTGTCTGGCGGTATTTGCAGTACGTCGCTATCTTTTCATCGTAGAGTTTACGCTGAACGCTGCAGGGAATGATGAGAAATGACAAGGGAGCTTTCTACGTGACCATGTAACCAGGGCCATCCCGGTGAAATCCATTCGCCGACCCATTATCATTCTATGCCATGCTGTTTACTCAAACTCCTCCAAGCTAGCTACGTACAAATAGACGACTCCATGGCTCGTTGCTCGTTTACTACAAAAAATACACAGGCATTCCCAGCGCTCGTCGCGTTAGAGGGCGACGTCTTGAAAGCTGGAGTTCTCTGGCGTTGAGAGACCTGGATCGGCCAACTGATACGTCTTTTGACCATCATCAGAATCGGATAAAGGGGCAGATGTAGTAGACCGACGTTCAGCCTGATTGCTTTTTTCCCCTCGACCTGGGAGATTGCTGGGGGAATTCGGCGAACTCTCTTGTTCCCGGTCTTCACTTTGACCTTTCTTTCCATAGTATTCAGCATCTGTTTTGGGAGGCGGAGTGGGCGGTTGAGACTGGGTTGCCTCGGCGGCATGATCTTCAATTGGCGGACTAGGTAGGGATATATCTCTACTGGACTCCTGGGTAGGCATCGATATGTCCGCCGACGAAATCTGTCTCTGCCGTGGATCGGCGTCGAGGTAGTATTGTCGGACCCCGACAATTCGTCCTCCCCTTTCGCAGCCCTCAACCCATTCAGGTCGGACGACAGGAATGTTCATTTCGACAGCTTTTTCCCAGGCCGCACCGTGGCCCTCGGTGGTAACAAAATGAGTCGTATCGATGCGCACACTATCTGCCATCTTAGCCCCGATCCGTTCCACTGCCCTACTTAAACTGTCCCGGAGCTGCGCCGGTAGGACGCCAGCAGTCACAGTAATTCCGCTAAGATCAGTCATTTTATGGGTTCTTACAACAACCCTATCACTGCTATAGGTTCCTGCTGTAGTTCGAAGCACTAGGTGAAAGGTGTACTCCGTGTCTATTCCCAAACCACTAATTTTTGTACTTGTCATAACTTCAGGTTTCGGAATATTTCCTGCTTTTTGGCCGTTGCGAAATAAGGAGAGCGAGATAATATCTGCCGTCGCGAGCATGATTGGGTCCCATTCGAGGACAACGGACGTTTGGGTGGCATTTCGACAGCGGAGAACCGGAGCGACAGGTTCATCCTTCCCGAAGGACTCGTAGATCGAATCTTGGAGGGCAAGAAATGCAGCCTCTGACTTTTGTTCGGTGATAAAGTTGCGCGAAACTGTAATATCGACAATGCTGCCTGAGGAGATGTTGGGGGGTAGGAGTATGGAGGGAAATTCAATCTGTAGCATCTCATTAGCAGGTCGTAGTAAAAGGGTTTAGAATCACACGTAGCCGTACAAGTCTTTTGTCTTGTGTCAGCAAGACAGCGACACCTGCATCGACCTTCCCAACCGTCAAAGAAATTAACATGTTCAATGTTAGTCGGAAGGGGAAGTTGGAATAGGGAACGCGGACGGGGACTTGTGGGCGCGGACACCGAATTAAAAAATACGATAAATTTAAGTGGCAAGATAGTGCCAGGGATGGGCTGCGTGGAGACCCGTGGATGTTACACTGTTTACAAAGGTACTTCCGCCTCTAAGTCACAACCATCATATGCTCCACCAGTCACAAAGATTAGTCAGACAGGTGCTGTTTATGAAGACTTCCTAAATTTGAGCGACCGTGAACCATTACCAAAGTTACCCTTATAATTATCTGCTTGTGGTTGTCTCGTTCTGTGCATATTCTGACCGTAACCTTTCCACTGTGTCGGTCTCCTACTCTGCGTATTTACTTTCTCAATAAAGAGTTGAACTGATCGATCTACTTTTTCCTTCAATTCTGGTGTTTTCATGGTGATCAATGCGGGCTGGTAGGCAAATATTTGGACCGTTCCAATCAAAGGTGGCTCATTGTCTGCCTTGATACGGGAGCCGTCCGCAGAGTAGCCGCGATTATTCAGAGACTCGATGAAAGCTATTCGTATTCTTCGTGCAATCCAGCTTCTTACAACTCTTTTGCCTGAGACTGGTAGAGTGGCTATGGCTGACCACCAAAGCGGTTCGGTTCTACGGCTTAGACGACCAAGGAGATATCCGGCCACAGCACAACTTCCCACATTAACTGCCCAAGACGACGAAGTCATGAGATAACAAGAATGTCTCGAATAGAAAATGGTGAAGCCAGCCGTGATATTGTCTTGCGTACTGGATAACTTTTCCATGCGGTTGAAGGGTAATACTGTGCGGGCTGTAGCTCTAAGTGCCATGTTTTGAGCCAGTGCAAGAAATGATCAAATAAAAGTGCTACGCGTGTTTTTGTAATTGCGGCAAGTCCAAGTTGGTGAAGTGTTAAAATATTCGGTGTGCTTTTGTTCAACGCCGGTGGGTGTGAAGATATATATAATCCGTTGTGATAGTTCCTAGTAATGTGAGCCGAGGCAATCACAATCTCCAATTCCATTTACCACGACATCTCAAAGCCGTGAAAGTTTGCATAACAATAGTAAACGTGCAAATTAGAACTCCAGCTAACATTTAAATGATCAGCATCCGGCATTCCAAGCTTCATCGCCGGATGTGCAACGAATCATTCCTATGATTATACCCAATCTGAGCTTTCGTCTTACGTAGATCCTACAAATCCGACAAATATCCAAACTCTCCAGCCACTCATAATCACTTCAAAACTGTGGTTTTATATGCTTATTTTACCAGTGGCTCTGAGAACAAAGACTGAACACCTGTACGCGGTGTACTTTACGATCTGGGAGTGAAATATTATTTCAGAGCCAAGTTAAGTCAAATTTCGCAATATCAAAGGAGTTGGCCTACGGGAAAAAACTCAAATTACCCCACCACGTCTTTTTTTCGCTCCCAACGAGTTTGACTCCTATATAAGTCTCATCAAGTCTACAAATACGACCAAGTACATCCTCATCTCTATGAATACACCACTCTCCGACTTTCTCTGGCCTCAGTTGACCACCAAATACACACAAACGCCGATATTTACACCCGATGGAGGTAGCAAAGCTTTGCGCACAAATCTGGGAGACAGTTCATTGGGTTGGACGTGAGGGTGATTGAGATAAGTTTACAAGATGATGCAAAGGAAGGATGTAACCTCGACGGGCATGATAGTTCAAATTTTGGCAAGAGTTTTACGAATTGGGCTTTGTACGCGCCAAGACTTCGCTTGCGGGAGTGCAGCTTACACTATAAACACAAGCCAACGATGGAAGGTGTTGTATTCTGCCTCCTGATGATGTTCTCTGGTATACTCTGAGTAGCCTGGCCACCTACTTCACTTGGGAAAGAGACACCTAAGACCACATTTCGCGCGGAGAAAAGTGTAGGATGACGGAGGCATGTCTTGATAACTCAGGGTTTTTAGACATTCCCCTGGGTGGGTATTCACGGATGAGGGTTGACTTGGGTGAAGAAAAAGCCACCATAACTTCGCAGTGGTACTTGCAAATAAAATTCGAGGTATGAGTGCTCTTCTTGTATAATGAATCATCTATGATAAACTTCTCTGATATTGTATCATAGCTAGATAGCTGCATACGCAATAAAAATCTGACGCAAAAAAACACAATAAATCATTAAAAAAAGTCTAGTAAGTGCAACTATCCCGCGAACGTTATCCCGCACTTGGAAGCGCACGTGGAGCTCAGACCATCACTTCCAACTGTGAACAAGAAAGCCACTGTGGCGGTCGTCGCTGAGAGACAACAACCTCCAGCTGAATCAATTTCTGTAGACTAAGAAGATGAGTTCATGGAATCAGATTCAGAAGTCGATTGTCTTCCTGTCTTGATATCTGCAACCGAGGTGCCGAATAATAATCAGAAGCCCTTTGCTTCAAAGACCTCAAAAGCAAATTCTATGAAACGTCTCTAGCTGTCTACACGCGGCTGCCGAAGCCTAAGCTGAATGCGGGCTGGAGTCAATCACTAGTTCATCACTGCGCGCTATTCGCCAGTCCTTTCCGGTCATAACTAAAGATATCGCTCCATCATTGTTGGCTTGGTTAAATACTGGATCTGAACACCTGCGCACTCTTCCTCTAGCCATCGCAGCTGACTTAAAAGCCATTATGACCAGTATCGCTCCATGAGTTATCGCTGTTCTTCCGGTTTTCGAGGAATCAATTACTATTCCTCATCCCTTTGCTATTACAAAAACAGGCTTCCTGCCTATCCTGGCAACTACATTGTGTGTGTTTGTGTTTATTGTGCTGCTTGAGTCTATGACTATCTCGCACATTGGGCTCCTCTCTGACCCAGACCACACCTTGTACAATGCTCCTTGCCTCTCATGTTATTCGAAAGATCATTGGTATATTGCCATGATTAATAGCCATTCAGCTCAGTGTTTTCCCGTGGAATTCGGCCACCTTTTCCACGGGACCTTCTACACAAAAAAGAAAAGTGGTAGCAATAGAAACTGCGTGCGCGGGAAAAAGTCTCAAAAGACTTGCAGCCCCGGCCAGGCGAGGCCTAGACACCGGGACCACATGAGGTGCGCATATTCATCTATATCTCCCTTCTTTGTAACAGTCGAGGTCGACTTGATCCAATCCGCCATCTCCGTATCGGGTGCTGGGTACGCTCCGGAAACTCACCGGATGGCTTCTCCATGATCAAGGATAGGTGATGAGTAGGGCTCCAACCCTACCATCTGATCTGATAGTGGTTAGCTTCATGGTAATGGTGATAGGGGAATGTGTTGAGAGATGAAGACGATACAGACCGCGAAAGCGATTGGGAATCCTCTTCGAAGTGAGGACTTTGTTACTCAATCTCGGCTCTGCAGACTCTACAGTGAGAGCTGGAGGTTCGTAGGGGACACCACTGACAGGTGTTGAGAATAGCCCCCCTGGCAACTACATTATCCTCCGCTAATATGTTGAAAAAAAGGTCTGCCTTCCCCGGATCTACCAACTAAGGTCGCAAGAAAAGCTGCACCTGCGGTAGTAAAATCCAGACTCGATTCGAGAATCATGGTCCGCCTAGCATCTGACCACTCCCTTCGACACAATGACGCTCTTCTCGTCCGCACGAAGCCGAGAAGTCTCTCGGAACATCCAGAGCTTATCAAGTACACCCACTCGCTCCCATCTGGTATCGCCCTCGTAGTCCCCTCTCCAGACCAAGCTCCAGAGCTCCTTCAAGCAGCTGCGGCTCTACAGCTCATGACAGGGATTATTCCGATTGAAAGGTCGGAAAAACGAGAAAATCCTCCTTCTTAGCCCGGCTCTAAAATAAAGGTACAACTCATCCGGATTCCCTAAGATTATATCAGTGACTGAAATCTGGCATAAGCTTGCAGCCACAAAAATTGATACAGACTCAATATTCTCCATCTCCTGGACGCGCAGCTCGAAGGAATCCCCTATCTCGGAAGAAACACTCCGATTAGGAGTCTCAAAGCAAGCTTCGGAAAAGCTTCCGACCAGTATCAGCTTCTTTGCGTGATCCGCTAGAATTCGGTCAGTAGATAAGCGTCTTTGCCTTCAGGTCTGCCCCCGCTTTCACGGCTTCCACAACATCAACGCTTGCACGCGCCGGGCACGATGTATTCTCTGCGCATCAGGCTCTCGCAGTGGACTATGTATGACACCCATCAATTGCCTAAATTGCGCCGGCCCTTACGAGGCCTCTTCTCCAGGCTGTCCGGCCAGGTCTTTTCACGCTAATGGGTCTTTATTCCGCTAGATAAGGAGAGAATGCGGCTAATTCGCCAGGAGGGACAAATACCCTGGCTTGCCATAAATCCTCCCCCGCCACCTGATGGCCCCTTCATTGGGAGTTCATCCTCATAATTCTCGCGAACTTTTACTCCAGCTTATATAATGTGAGTGGGCACAGTATCGAGGTTTGCTCCTCTAGGTAACCTTGATGAATCACAATGAGAGGTTCAATCTTGAGACTAGGAAAGCAGAAAATTACAGTTCTCTACTTCTTACAACCAACATTAATAGACCTAGTCCAGTTCACGAGGGTGCCCTCGCTCTGAGGAAATGAATCGGGCTGACGAAGATTTTTACGACGGGGCTCAATAGACCAGCTAAATCTATTTGTCAAGGAACAGTCTATTAGACAGTGAGGGTTAAATGAAAAATGTAAAGCAAAAGTAGATTGATGAGATCTCTGCTCCTCGAATGATCTCCGACCTTGATGCTGTATACTCATCTAAATCTATTTCCGAAAGAGAATATCTTCTCTTGGTTTCCTAGAGTTACATCAGGAGATAAGTTACATGTGTCTTCGATCAAAAAATCTCAGTTTGGTGCTTTGATCATCATAAGCATCCTGATCAACATATTCCTGGTGAGATATCAAAGCTCGAAAGATTTACTTCGAGAAGATGTGTCATTCATATACCCAATTATTTTCATTACTAGATTTAGTAGGTTCCAAACTATCAGTTTTTTGAAACAATCTTTAAGCAGAATGACTGTTAGACGGGAATATGCTTATTCTTTTCTTACTCAGTGTGACCTTTTTTGTAATTTCCTTATAAATCACGCTTTCAGTGGGAAGAATTTGATGCAACTTATAGAAATAGACGTAAATTTCCTGGTTCATGGAAATTTGCTATATATTGTCTTGTGATTCCTTTTGACGGATAGAACAGTATGGCTGGAAGTAGATTCGATAAAGTATAGGGTTGCACAAACGTGTATTGTTTCACAGCCTCAGAATTCCCTATGAGTGCTGCAGCCTAGCTCGTACTAACGTACCACTGCAAGGCTCATCTTCACGCGAATATGAATCTACGAATACAGGCTACATAAGATCTCCAAAAGCTTTACACTGTCTTACCCCCAAGTAAACAATAAACACAACGACAACTCCGTTATGTTAAGGTCCAGGGATGATTATGTTTGACCAACGCTCTTATAATCCAACACTATTCTTAAATTGGAAATCAGAGTGACGGACAACTAGTCAGGCTTTTTTGTAGTCTCTGCGTGCTGTAGGGTACGCCAAGGCGTCAGGTAGATCCCTAGGGACTGAGCCATCCAGCTCGTCGCAATGATCATGACCTGTGAACTGACATGAAGTAAAACTTCAAAATTAAATTAGGTACTGACCGGCCTAGATGAATTCTTCACCTTCCAGTGGTGCCGGTGTAATCGCTCAGTATGCTCTGCATATCTGGGATAGCCAAGAAGAATCGCATCCAAATTGAAGTCGAAAGCACTCACAAGCACATCCGAAATCGAGGACTTCTCGTCAATGTCGGATCTATCATTCTC